AGAAAATGCTACTCATTTATCCAAGCTGGGGAAGGGAACTCATCAAATTGATGACGGGAAGGATTGTGAGGACTCAGCTATACACAGTGGGATGTGGGCTTTTAGGCGGGGGTTTGTGTAGACACGTCCTCACAGTGGTAGGCCCAGGGGTGCCCGGTTAGCAGTCAGCCTGGCGCGTGCCCACAGATTGCTTGCATGAAGCGCCCAGGAATACCCTCAGCACTCAGCTAATGTGTTTACCAGTAGCAGGACGCCTTAGTGCTTGCACCAGGTTTTCTACAAAACACAAAAGCTGATTTCTAATCCTCTAAGTCTCTAGTGCCAGGCCTACCCCAAAGTTTTATAATTGTGCTATGGCTCAGTACGACTCTCTCTTACAGTGGTCTTGCCCCCACACCCATCTGCCGTATTCTAGAGCTGTGGATGTCATCAGTCTGTTCCCTGGTGGGCCGTCACCTGCGATCGGCACTGAGGAGACATGGGCTCTGGTTGCGTTTTTCTGGCCGCCTGCCATAGACGTGTGGTAAGCAGCCAAAGAGCCACGTGGAGACTGGGGCCAGGTCTGCTGCTCCAGAAGCGTGCCTGGCTCTGACCCCTGAGCACGGCAGGTGGCCGGCCTGAAGGAAGGGGCTCTCAGCTGGTCCAGCTCCCTGGGCTGGGCTTCTGTAAGGTGGCTGGGGCAGGAGGCAGGTTGGAGGCCTGGGATGGCTTCTAAGAGCTCTTTGTCTTTCTTCCCATCCCCAGACCCAAACCCAGCAGAGGCCTTAGACTTGGAAAACAAGGGAAGGCCAAGAAGGGATGAAAGTGCCTGCTCTGTGGTTCTAGAGAAGACTCTGTATGCAACGTTAGCAGCTTAAACCTTCCATCATGACAATTTGTTTGTTCTCCTGGGGCTAGAGGGCTGTGGAGCAGGAATGGTGGAGAAACCTACAGTCTGGGATGACCCATTGTTGGTTAACTTCTAACGTTCTGCTCCTTGGATCCTTTCATCAGAGCGCCAAATAATTAGAAAGTACTCTTAGTTCACCTCAGAATGTTGACTAGGATTGAGCTGAAAGCTTCACAAGTGCAAGCAATGGGGTGAAAGAATCTGAATGTCTGACTAAATTAGCCATGTGAGTTAATGAGTGTTGGGATAATGAGTCATCCCGAATACATTTCCATGGGGGACGCTTCATTATATTTCCTAATACTCTGTGGCAAATTGGGCATTAATTAGGATAAAGTGAAACTTTGGTAAGGAGATGTTGAGTTTTCCTCTCTAAATATAATCTCAATGAGTGGGCTCACCAGACACCCCACTGCTCCCCAGTTAACACATTACATAAAGCTATGTTTGCAGGTTTCATTTTCTGGATCTCAGTATTTCAATTTAGAGTTTGAAAGGTGTGGAAAATGGAAATGAAACACACACACACACACACACACACACACACACACACACACACCCCGTCAACGCTTCTAGCTCTTTCTTCAATACTGCAAAGAATAAGAATAAATCTGATCTAGCATAGCATAATGTTAATGGTGAACAATCCAGCAAATACTTGTTCATGATATGATAATAAAAATGGAAGGATGGCAGTCCTTTAAAAAGTAGTGTTGTGCAACTCTGTTGCATGCACTTGAAACAAATTCAGAAACTAGGTCCTAGTGCTAGCTAGCTGCATATTTCTTTCTAAAATAATATGTTTTTATTGATTCTTAGGTAGAGAGGAAGGGAGAGAGAGATAGAAACATCAATGAGAGAAACATACCAAATTGACTGCCTCCTACACACCCCCTACTGGGGATCGTGCTCTGACCAGAAATTGAACCCGGGATCTATTGGTTCATGTGATGACACTCAACGCACTGGGCCACACCAGTGGGGTACTCACTGCATATTTCTATAGAGCAAGAGCTATAGGGTAAACAATTGGAAGAAAAATCTCAGTAAACAAAAGTTTTCTGAGTGACACGATTTCTTCTTCAGGTGGTGTATATCTTTGAGTTAGGAAATTTTAGTCCTGAAAGGACTAACTTCCAATGAATTCAACTTTGCCTTACAGATGAGAACAGTGACTTAGTGAGGTTATACCGTATTTTCCGGTGTATAAGACGACCCCCTAAGTTTACAGTTAAAACATAGGTTTAGGCCTATATTCGCTGTATAAGACTACCCCCCACTTCCGAGGCAACGCCAGTTCTTTTTTTAATAGACCACCTCTCTGACTTATACAGAACTAGAGCCAACATCTTTATACTCCGGGTTAAACATCAACACTGGAAGTCTACAGATTTGATCCTAGTTCCCACACTTGCTAGAAATTCAGGCATCAACTCTAATTTTCTCAGTGAAGTTAGGTTAGGCAAGAAAGGTGACCATGGCTTGGTCCTGGCAGCTGAGTTGGGGCTGGGTGTGGTGTGCATGTACTTTTATTGTTCAAACCAGCATATGTTTGAGAGGGAAAGGGGGTTACTACTAATGGGTACTTAGAACAACAGATGCAAAGCAGAGCTGTGTGGGGAAGCTGCAGTGTGCTTACTCTATGTACGAAACACTGGGCGTCAGGGGCTTGTTCATGTGGGCAGAGAAGTAGTCCTTAGAGAAGGGAACATGGGTTAGAGGCAGGAACCCTTTGAAACAGGGCTGTCAACAACAGAAGTGGAACTTTTCAATATATTCAGCATTACTGGAGAGTCTGTGGGAGGCGTCATCCCGCCATGAGGTTGCCTGTGGAAAAGACAACCTGGGACTCGACTGCTATTGGATGAAGTGCCTCTGTTAGCTCAATTGGGAGAGCAGAGAGAGATACCTGCTCCCAGTCCTCAGAGTGCGCACGGTAGGGGAAGCTTGGCCTCCCCACCTTCTCCTCTTGTGGGCCCCTTTAGGATGTGAGAAGGCGAGCTTGCAACCTCGCTCTGGGCACCCCTTAGCACTTCCTCCCCCACGTTCTTCCCCCTCTCCCAGCCTACCCTTTGATGTCCGCAGCTTTCCCCCCAAACCCACTCTGCACTTACAGTGACACACCTCTGACTTCTTGTCCAGCTGTTACCTGTATATTGTCCTTGGCCCCAAACTATCATTTAAATGCATCATGAGCTCAAGAGCCATGCACGACACTTCTAGCTCTTGAAGCCTAACCCTGTGCTGAATAATGAGTCGTCCCTGCTCCAAATGCTTTTTGACTTTTCAAAAATCACAGGGCATTTGACACTTAAGTCAGCCATTTCCATTTTCCCTTCTCTGCACTAAGTGATGTCTCAGCAGTGAACTGACATCAGAGAGGAGGTACCGTGTGAGGAGATTGCCAATATGCAAGACAGTTTTCAGTGAGAAAGTGAATGACATAGAACGAAAGAAGGAGTTTATATTTGGAACTGAGTGGCTGTGTACAGGAAGTTAAAAATAAAGATTTAGCTCTTACATCTTTATTTTTATACATACTACTATCATGAGGATCCTGAAAGAGAAGTGAAACTTAATTCTGATATTCTTTAAGGATTGTTGCCTCTTGCAATGGAAAATGACAACTCGTGGATGTCTCCCAGAGGCTGCGAGGTGACCAAATGGCAGAATCTGTACAGGAAGCCATGCTGCATCAAGTCGGACATCCCTCTCACAATCCAGGACTTCTGGCTCCCAACTGCTCACCTGCCTGCCTTCCTGATTGCCCCTAACCACTTCTGCCTACCAACTAACCACTCCCTGCCAGCCTGATGGATGACTAACTGCTCCCCTGCCAGCCTGTTTGCCCCTAAGTGCCCTCCCCTACAGGCCTGGTTATCCCCAACTGTCCTCCCCTGCCAGCCTGATCTCACCCCCAACTGCCCTCCCCTACAGGCCTGATCTCAACCCCAACTGCCCTCCTCTGCCACCCAATTTGGTTCTGATTGATCAGTTTCTATGCCAGTCAGCATCTCTGGGCCTATCAATGGGGCCTGATCAGAAAGGTGGGGCTGATCAGAAGCCCCAGTGGAGGCCTGGAGAGAATTGGAGGCACAGCTGCTGACCAGGCACTGAAAGAAAGAGAGACAGAGAGACAGAGAGAGTCAAGTGCTGATCAACAGCTGCCACAGAGGCTTCAGATCAGACTTTGCTTCTCTCTTCAGGCCTCCCTCCTGGTCTGATTTGCAGCCCCCTCAGGAGTCAGTGCTGGGTCACTGTGCCTGCAGCCATAGCAGTCAGTTCTGGGTTGCCATAGTAACCCAGCACTGACTGCAGAATTGACCTCCAGTTGGCCAAGTTGTGGATGTGACAGACCCAGGGTTTTTATATATTAGGATACTTCTGCTGATTGGTTAAGTAATAACCAAAGCTAGACATAATCTTATTTATTGGATTTGTGCTTCAAAAGAAAAACTCAACTGTGATATAAATCTCCCTCTCACAATCTTAGGTTATTGATTTTGGAAATGGTCTTGACATAAGGACAGGCTGTGTTCAGTGTACTCTGGGGTAAATGCATCATCCATTTAAGTATGCAGTCATGACCCTCTAATGACATGGATGTGTTCTAAGACATGTGTCATTAGGCAATTCTGTCCTTTTATGAATATCATAGAGTGCACTTACACAAACCTGGATAGTGTAGCCTCCTACAACACTATGCTGTCATGTATGAAGTCCATCATTGACCAAAATGTTATTATAGGGCAGTAAAGAAGTATACACAGTTCCACGTGTTATGACAACAGCTGGCAAAAAGGAGTTGATATGCTATCATTCTTTCCTAAGATGTGGCTTGTCCTCAACTCCTTGTCCAAAATGGAATTTGTAAGGTGGATGTTCACTGATAAAAATCTTAATGGGATGCTGAGGGGCAATATGTTTTTCTCAGTAACTTTTACAACTGGAACGTTGACGCTCTGGGTCTCTAGTCCTATCCGATCTTTCTGATGGACTTCTTCCTCTTCTATGTTGCTTTTGTAGATTGAAGGCCTTGATAGCAATGAACATATGTTTAGTATAACTAATAATATTTATTTTCCCACTTTCTTTCAAATGCCTTTTGTAGACAAGAAGCCCCAAACTGTCTCACAGTCCTCAGCCTCCCAGCCTGGGCGACCCGGTGGAGCATTTATCCGAGACTTCCGGTGACTCTCTGGAAGCCATGTCTGAGAGCGAAGCCCCAAGTCCTTTCTCCAGAGGCAGCCGAACCAGAGCGAGCCTTCCGGTGGTGAGATCGACCAACCAGACGAAAGAAAGATCTCTGGGTGAGCCTCAAATAGCAGTTTCTGATGTCTCTTGATTACGGCGTGTGTCTTGTTTTTATACTTCTGAACACATACTCCTGCGATGGAATGTTAATGTGATCTCTATTTGTAAAAAGCACGAGTCCTGAGAAACTTCACTGGTTGAACACCATGCGTGAAGATGTGCCTGCTGGGGAAGCAGCGAGTCTCAGATGCCTTTGGGAGTGGGCACATTTAGACCTGGCTGCTTAGCCACTGGAGCCAACACGCGAGCAGTACTTGCAAGTGTCCCTGGTACGGGGAACAGCGGGGCACAGATTGCAGAATGAGCGCTGTTTCTCAGGAACCTCCCTCCTGTCTCAGAAGCCTGGAGAGTTGAGGTCTGGGAGGTGGGTTTGCACCAGCCTCACGCTACTGTCTGGCAGCCCAGAGGAAGGTGTGAATGGCTCCAGGAAAAAGAGATGCATTGTGGCCAAAATTCCCCTGACTGTTTGTGACAGCAGTAAGCTCGGAGCTGTTCATCCCACCGCCAGAGGAAAGGATGGAGGGGCTTGGCACACATGTGCCAAGGCTTTTCCTCCTAAGAAAAATAGGAGGTTTCTCTCTTTTTGCCTTACCACTGATGGTAAATTGATATTGGACATTTCACCTCCTAGCGTGCTCCGCTATTTTTTTTTTTCTGGCCCTTTAACAAAATTTCAGGTATGAGAACTTAGACCTCTTTGCCAGTCATGCTGGTGTTTCATATGCTTAACTTGCCATTTCAAGTTTTCCACTAGGTACCTGTGTTTGCAGACAGATGGGGATCAGGGGAAAGAGAGGACAGGAACTGGTTCACTAGAAAAAAGCTTCAGGGTTTGGCCCCTAGAATTTAGCATGAGACAGCTAAATTCTATGTAAAACCTAGCAAATGCTTTGCATGAAGAAAAAAAGAGAAGAAAAATGTGAGGAAGTACCCTGAATTTGTTCCACACCTGCAGATGATGAGAGCAGACTGGGTTCAGACATTGTCCTAGCTGTCCAAAAAAAAAAGACCAAAATAACAACAACAAAAACACACACCATTATTGTTTGCATGATTAATATTAATTTTAACATTAAATTTGTATACTTCATTTTAGCTTATAATACAGGTTCCTCATTTCACAAATAAGAGAGAAAACGCACACAGAAAAATTTGCATTTGAAAACATTTTTGGAGATTACATAGTTAATTAAATGGCAGAGGCAGTTAGCCAGGCTTCTTGCAGCCTCTTTTACAAATGAAAGCGAGGGACCTGAAGGGTGAGATACACCCAAGGAGCTTAGTGGGCCAGGGCAGTGTCAGGATGACACAGGCTTCCACATGGTACCAGGCTCCGGCTTTCCAGCTGGATCATGGAGCATCGTGCTCTGTTAAACCCTTCCAGCTTGAGGCAAGAGCACCAGGAACCAGCTGAGCAGTGAAATTTCTCCTTTGTGATCTGCAGGAAATGAGGGAGGTTCAATTCTCTGTACAGACAGCCTGTGCTTTGCAAAATAAAACGAAGATAAGAATAAATGCGTCTGTGCCTTCCCCATACCTGGGGAACATTGAGCCTGTTGGATAATGGACCCTTTGTCTTGGCGGCCAAGCGCGTTGGCAGTGCAGGTAGATAGATACCAGCTTCAGGAAGCAAGCCTCCGGCGGAGGGCCTGCAGGAGCCTGGCAGCCTAGCCCGAGGGAGTGCTGAGGGGGCTGGTGTTTCCTCTTGCCCTTCTGCAAAAGGCTGAGATTTACTTTGAGCCCACCTTGCTGTAAAGTTCCTGCAAGGGCAGAGTCACAGCTGATTAAAAATGCATCTGAGATGTTTATTCTCCCAGCTCTGAGGGGCTTTAGGCCTGCGATTTTCACAACTCCTGGATAGAAATTGAGGAAGGCAATGAGAGGAGAGGAATGAGAAGTTTGCCCAAGCAAAGGGAACTGTGGTTCCAGAAAATGAACTGACACTGGGCCAGTGGGGTAGACGCTGCCCTGATCACCTCTTGGTGGCCTGTTTGGGAATACCCTCCCAGCTGCACCTGGCCTTGTGGAACCATCCAGTTGAGCCTGGATGGGAAGTAAACAGGAAAGTGAGTCAGAGAGAGTCTAAACACAGTCTCCCTGCCAGGGGCCTTGTTCAGCTTTATGTTCAGGAAACCCCGTGTGCCTGGCTTTCTTTAACACTCAGACACGGGCTCCTGGGAAGGGCAGGAGCAGCTGGTGTCTCCTGACCTCTGATGATTCCAGGTGTGGGATCCCTTATCACATCCGCGTGGTTCAGGGTTCCTCTTCAGGGTTCCGTGTCCTGGAGAAGGTTGACACACAAATGAAGAGAGATTGGAAAAGAGTTAATTTGGGGAAATGTGGGGGCCAGGTGGGAGTCCACCTCTAAGGGGAGGACTACCCACTGCTCTGGCCTTTTGCCATCCCTTTTATTGAGGTTCTGAGATACACCCACATCCTTTTAAGCAGGAAATTCCAATAATAGAAAATCAGCAAGAATTTACATGATTAACAGGTTAAAGTTGCTTCAACTACCACTGTCTCAACTAAACAATGAGTTAATAGCTCCGACCATGCAGAGCCATTAAGGTTGACCAGCCTTCCAGATTCCTTTTTCACATCTAACCACCAGTGACAATGTTCGGTTTCCGGCATCCAGGTCTCAGAGGCCGAGGACGGATACTGAGCTGAGACCTCCAGAAACACCCGGTATCTTTTCGGATCTGTACATTGCCATTTTACCTTAACGCACAGAATTTTACGATCTCTCCCAAAGCCTTGTTGACTCTGCCTTTAAATTTTTCATAGTTTGTTCATCATGGATTTTTGTATGAATTTTGATGTTTAAAACATCACGTTACATTAGGACTGATCTTGATTACTCTTTGGGGCCTCCTTGTGTTCTGCACTGGTGGAGAGTGCCTCTCTCTCCTCGCTCCAATGGCTGCCCCTTGGGTCACCCTGGACACTGCATCCCATTGCCGTGGCCTCAGAGCCACAGAGCCTGGGGGGAGGCTGAGTCAAGTCCCATTCCTAGGCTGCTCTTTTGCACATGCACAGTGTGTTGCTAGGGCAGCACAGGGGGAGACATGGGGACCTTGGGGGCAGAGCCACACTGGGCAGATAGATCCTCAATTCTCTCCGGCTCCCTGGGGGGAGGAAACTTCCCCTCACTAAAGCAGCCTGTGCTCAGAGATAGACCTGCCTGCTTAATCATTTTCCCACTTGGCTGATTCCCCCTTTCCGTTACTTGAGAGTATTTAGGGGAGGCAGGGTGCATGTCACAGAGGCTTTAAGCAGATGCGGAGGAGAGAGAAGGGACAGAGAGAGACCTTCGCCATCGCTGGGGTCTGTTTCCATATTCTCCCTGGGATGCATCGTCCTGCAGGCAGGATGTCAGCTCCGCTTTGGGAGGGGCGCCGAGGGACTGCAGGCAGGACACAGGTCCTTTCTGATGCTGAGGGCAAACTGGTCATTCACAGCTACCGACTGAGCAGGAAAGTAAAGGAAGCATGGTGCTCAGCGACTCTGATTTATAACCTGAGCAGGGTCCTGGGATGGACACCTGTAAATCTCCACTTCTGCAGGGCGCCGGGTTCCCTGCCCGCTGTACCACCCATCGGAGCCCAACCGAAATGCTTCTCTGGGGCATTTTCACCATTTCTCCCCCTATTCCCCCTTCTCTAAGGAAAATGGAGAAGAGGAGGAGAAAGGAAGTCTACAAAAGAAAGTAAAAACCACTTTGCAGTCGAATTTGGTTTTAGGAATAATTTCCATGAAAAGCTGCCCCGCAGACATTGGATCTGGATCTCAGGGATGGGGATCTCCGCCGCCTTTTGATCACCGCTGGCTTACAGATGCCTGTCTGCAATGTGACCGTGGGCAGGGGCCCTGTCTGGCCGCCCCGCAGCCAGCCGTGGGAGAGGGCAATCGCCAGACATCCCCACCCCTCTGTGCGCACTCAGCAATTTGAAAGTAAAACTCATGTGGAAACGAGGAGAGCAGTGGCACCTCCTGCTCTCTGGGGCCAGCTGCCTGTGTTGGCCATATTCTGAACGGTTCGCTTATCTTTTTTTTTCTTCTGCAACGGGTCTTTTTGGAGGAGACCTATTGATCAGATTTTTTTCTTTTATGGATTGTGGTTTCGGTGTTATGTCAAAGAACATCACAAAGGTCAAGGTCCTCACTGATATCTCATTTTTCCCTGGAAGTTTTATATTTATTAGTATGTATTGTGCATTTAAGTCCATGATCTGTTTTGCGTTAATTTTTTTCATGTGTAACCCTTACCAGCTTGCCAGCCAGGCAGGTTACTGTTTCTGTAACAAATTGTCTCTTGAACCCTCAGACTCAACAAGCAGGAATGATTTTAAATGGCTCGAAAAAATTTCAGACTAATTTGGGAGAGGTTTTTCCCACACACATGAGAATTGTTGAGTATCTATGTGGTTGTTCTTTTATTCCAACATGGTAACAGTGATGGTGACCACTCCTGGGGGGGAGGGAATGTGTCAATTTAAGGAACAGAGGGTCAGAGTTGCCAGAATTTTCCCTCCTGCGCATAAGAGTAGGTAGGAAGTTAGGGCAAAGGAATGAGGAAACCTCTATCTACCAAGTGGGAAGCCAAGAAGGGTGGTGAGTGAGAGAGCAGGGCAGGGCGAGGCGAACTCCTGACTGGAACCCTGACTCCGCTGTCTGGCAGGGCAGAGCTATCCTCCATTTTGTGTAACTGGACCCTAGCCTTCACCCAACCAATCAGGGTCAGCCAGAGCAGTGACATCACCACCCATATAAAACCCCTGAACTTGTTGAAGTTCGAGCTCTTGTCCGCCATGCTGTCGGCATGAGTGGGACAGAGCCCATGGTAACATGGAAGAGGCTCTCTTGTTTATGCATCGGACTCGACTCCCTGCTGGTCCTTGGGGATCACAGAATCACAGAATCTCGCTACAACAATGAGCAAAGACTGTGAGACTCGGGTTATTTACGTGTATACGTGATCCCTTGCATAGTTAAA